CGATTCGATTTGTTGAACTTGAAACGGAATCATAAACTAAAACTGGAAATAACATTACAAGTTACAATCTATAGAAATGATTAAAAATAATTTAAATTTAGTATGTACAATCTAATATTATGAATTTAACGGTGTATAATATATACAGTGAATGAAAATGTAGAAATATCCTAAATGTTGATGTTTCTTTAGGTGTAAAATAATACAATTTCGACGATTTTTTATGTCAAACGGCTTAGAACGGTGTCATATTAGACGTAATATTGAAGTTTCGAGTTAAAAGAGATCGTAAGAAAAATGATCTTCACAGTTCTGGATTACGACGTCGAGTTAACGAGGCTGCGGTCTTTCCGATACCCTAGGGCTACTTATTTCGCGTATCAGGCGCGGGCCAGGGCGTATAACATTTCTATACGAAGGGAGTACGCAGCCGGCCAACACCTCAAGGCAAAGCGACCGCATAAAAACGTGAAATATCACGGGTGTTTCCTTATCGCCTGCTCGGTCATATGTAAAAATGAATAAAATCTCGGTAAGTTGCGCCAGGGGATCGCACGGCAGTCGCTCCAGGCCAGTCAGTCGAATCTGATTCCGTACGTTTTTAGCATACAAGTCGGCAAGCTTGGAAATAAATCGTTGCGTGCACGATTTCGTATTCCTTTCCTCATCGCCCGCAAACATTCACAAGTGCAAATGAGATGCATCGAATAAATCGTTATTATTGCTCTTCTTCGCGATCACGGAAGTTTGTATTAATGCGGAGTTAAATACCGTGGCAGTGTATTAATTTAGCTTAATTTAAGCGATAAGATAATTCTTATTAAAAAGAAACGTGATACACTAATGATATAATATATTCGCGATAGCGAATGAAAAGAAGCAGGACAAAGTCAAGCCGCAGCTAAGCAGAAAGTGATATCAAGGGGTGGACTAAAGAGGGAAAATCCGGGCACGCAGGAGACGAGAGGCACGTAGCGTGCGAACAATAAGCAATAATAGGTAATGCAATTCAAACGTGGAGGCTGGCAATACTCCGAAGCCGACGGGGTGGTTACAATGCCGGGAAATGCAAGACAGGCATTTCCTGCGAAACGCGACGGCAGCGGCGAGAGGCGGACAGGGATGGTTAGAGAAGGGGACGGAGAACGGAGACAATCATACAATACGGGACGTTCGGATAGTCTATCGCATATTTGCCTTTACGCAATTCTCTACTCGCACAAACGCTTCGCCCGCGATATTACGCAATCGCGATTTATCCAGCGCAACATGACGCGACGCGACGCGGCGCGACGTATAGTCATCGTCCGGAAGTGCGGTTGTATTTAATCCGGGGATGTTCTCAACGTGCCTGCGTACGCGGTACGGTGATGAAAATGCTATCCGCGAATCTCTGTATTCTTTACGTTTCCACAATATTGGTAAATAACCACCAACGAATTCTATTCTGTGTTGCGATATATAATATTTTTTGAGTACATAAACAGAACTAATGTTTATAAATAGAATTACAACTTAATTAACATAGCTTCTATTAATAACTATTTTAATAATGACAGATGATATTTATTATTCCTTTGCAGAAATTTTCGAAATTATTCTATCATCAACATAAATTTAAATTATTCTCGGGATGTTTTGTACCGTATTGTGTTAACTTATATATAAATATTAATCATATTGGAGAGTACCTGAATATTTATGTCTGTAAACAGCGAGATATTTCTTATGAAACCGTCTCTTGTGTATCTCTAGGCTCGCGCGTAGATCTCGATGTGGTGGGATGATCTCGGGGAGAGAGGCATGAGGACGTAGTAGATGAAATCGTTTGTTCTAATATCACAGGTCCGACCCCCGAAGCTCGAAGATGAAAGTTTGTCCGTTGGAAATTGTCCGGGTGACGTTGCAAATGGGTCCAGACGATTCCACCCGTCTCTTCTTGTAGCTTTATCGCGACACTCACACATATGTTTTCAACGTAGCGGCATAGCAGCCGGCAGTAGCCTCTCGCCTCGAAATCCCGTGAGGCTAATTCTTAAGATATCGTTCGACGTTGACAAAAGTGGTCATATCGGAGTAAAAGATTTCGCAGAAGTGCCGTATTTGTAAATATTTGCAACGGCTTGTACTCTTTATCATCGCGTTTCGTTGTGAATGTGTATCTCATAAATGTTTGATCAGCAGTAGAATTAGTTTCGACAATTTTTAAATTGATCGTTATGTACTATTTATGACATTGGTTAAATTATTATTAACACCAGTGACAAGATAGTTTATTATAAGAGAATTACATTCTTGCTCTTCTATTAATACTTAACAAAAATATCGACAGCGCTTATTATATCTACTACTAAAAATGAAAATTCCTCAATTTATATCGAAACTCTTTCTATCAAATCCTGTTCTCGACGAGTCTCTTCTCGCTTCACGTAGTAAGATTTCAACGAAGAAACTCGAGGCGAAACGTCATCGGTCTAACTCAGAAGGCAAATGACACGAGAAATATAATCCATGCCACCCCGGGCTTTGAACCCGGAGAACTTCTTACCCTTCCCACTCGACATCGTTATAACTCCTTACAGGCTTGGCCTCTCTTTCCCTCGACCGCTTTCCCCTTTCGTCTACGTCAATCCCAGAGAAAGCTGGGCATTGTCGTGCCGAAATTGTGCGTAACTACGACAATAGTTCGGCAGGATTGGGCGAAATTAATGAAAACTCGCGCGGGATCCACGAAGAAGGGGTGAAGAGAGAAAGGGATGAGACCTCCCTAGAAACAGATATTCCTACGGTTGCAGGAGTAGGGGGAGGGGGTTCGGCTAATCGTGACAAATACTGATCCGGGATTGCCGAATTATAAACTAATGTCTCGAACAAACTTCGTCCAAGATAACTTTCTCCTCCTCCATCTGATTACTCCTCCGAGTGCTCGCTCAACCTTCAAACAGCGTGTATATTATCCTGCGTCAGCTGTTCTGAATTTTATTCGAGCTTTCATATGCATTAGTTAAACAATGCAGAATATACACTTTCTGTGTCTAATTTAGTTTTATTTAATCTATAAATAAAGTATTCAGCATAAGTATAAAAATAATCTTAATTGTTCTTATTAAATAATTTTATTTTTTTGTCCGATTCTGTTTTTATTAAATGAAACAATTAGAAAATAAAATACGTCGAAAGAAAAATTTTTTATTTCATTTTTTCAATTTTTTAAATCAATTTTAAAAAACACCGATTACTATACAAAGTATTATACACATCACGTACAAGCATCAGTACGCATATTGCATCGGTGCAATTTCAACCGGCGAACTAAAGGGGATGATTTCGCCATCTTTACGTCTTGCGACCGGGCGTGTAAAGGATAACGGAAAGAGGGTGGTTGATGGTGAAGTTAGAGGGCGAACGTGAGTAGGCGGACGAGCGGCAATGTTCCGGCCCGGCCAAGAGAGAAAGGAAATTGGATGATATTTCCCGCAACGATCAAATCTTATTGCCAATTGAAAGAGGAAAGTTCGCGGTACATTTACCTCGAGAAATCACCGACGACGAAGAGGTGAGCTAGCGAAAATGGCCGCTGCGATCTGCGATTCTGCAAACCACTCGTGCCTCTTTCCATCGCGATAACAAGCTCGTCTACGAGAAAGTAATACGAAAATAATTACAGTCAGATTGATAGTCCAGCAAATAATTAAATTGAATAAATTCATTTTGAAGATGCAATTAAATATTTGCGTGCACGGTATATTTTTTATTTACGTTAAAATTATTTTAAATATCTCTCGTTGTTAAAAAAAAATAAACTTCTCGTTCTTTTTTTCAAAATTGAACTGTTCAAATGTTTAAAAATACGTTGAACCGATTGGTGATACTGGAAATAATCTTAGCGTTATTCTTACGTCCGTAAGTTCACAGTAGATTGCGATCTGCTATTGGACGATTTCCTTTCATTTATTCGTATCCCCTTATCACATCGCACATCCTAGTAATATCTTCAGGAGCCAAAAGATTGCACGGAGTGGAAATCGCGGTCCAATTTCGATATCCTCCCTCATAATTTCATCTATCAGTATCCGTAAGAAAGAGAGAGAGAGAGAGAGAGGAAGAGAAAGAGAGAAAAGTCAGAATAGCCGTTTTCACGGGAAGATCGCGTTTGAGGATGGGGTGGGTTGTAATGAGCGAACGAAAGCGTCAGCGGCATCTAATGTCAGAAATTATAGCATATTGGCAATAAAATCCGGAGCAGGGTCCGTTCTTGCACGAATAAGCTCAACGCAGTTACCGCCTCTGTTTGTGGGTGGTTCGTTTATTGTAACAAATGGCGGAACCACATTTTGCCATTATACGCGATCTTGTCTCGGGGAAATATCTGATATATTCCCAATCGGTAATCACATTATTGCCTTTTATGGATAATACTATAAAAATATATTGATACAGCTCGTCCCTTGCGTCATATCTATGGTCTTGTAATTAGTTGTTTATGGCTAAAATAGTAAAAGCGGTAATAATATTGATTAAATTTCAAAATACTGTGTTTAAAATTTTAAAATATATTATACGTAATCTCTCATACATAATAAATTCGCACAATTTTCTCGTTGAATATTATTGAAAAAATATGTAAAAGTTGCATAAAAGTTTATTAATTTATGAGCTATACGTGTGCACAACAATAAAACAATATAGAGACAACAATACAAATTAAAAGTACAATAGTAGAACTAAAATGTATAACATTTGAGATATGCAGGAGATTTTTTCTCTATTCAATTTAAAGTATGACATATGTTTAAAATGCGAAACATTCAGCGGAACAAAATACACGAAACACAAATAAATGTCAAATTACTTAAAAAATGCACATAATAATTCTTAATATCAATAATTATATACAAGCATTATGTATAATTAAACAAGCATTAATTATTATGTTTACTGTCATTCAGTTTCTGAATTACTATTAATCTGATTAGAGAATCGCGAAAGTGTAGTATTACCAGATGTTCTTCTAACATTCATCCAATTTGGTATTTTCTTTCTGTCTTTGGTACCTCCTGATAATCTCATATTAAAATTATCTTCCATTTCAGAATTATCAGTTTCATATACAGATGAATATACATTTGACTTTACACTGCTGTCTGTCTGAAAATGTAAAAGATGTAGAATATTATATGTGAGATCTCTTTTCGCAATTATTAAATTTTCCAACTTTACGTGTATGCTAATAATAAACAACTTTTAATTTAATTAAAAAGCTCTCTTGAAAACTCTATTATAACAATTAGACATTATACGTTAATTGCACACCCTATCTGTAATTAAAAAGTACTTTGTATTATGTGCAAACGGACCTGAGAAGATTCGTTATCAACGAATTTAATGCTAATGTCATCATTGGAAAAAGTTGTGGAATTTTCTCTTGGAACTGACGAAACATTTAATATCTCCGAACTAGTGCGTTTAGGCACGAAATTGGAACTGCTTGCGAAACTATTTTCGGCTTCATGATCTTTCAAGGTTTCTTCTAACTGTTTTTGATTCTCAGTTAAAGATCTTTCCAAGTTATTTGGACTGTTCGCAGTTTCAAAGCATTTGTCCTTCTCTTCGATTTCATTTTGAAAATATTTCATTAAAATCTCATATCTTTTTATTGAAGCATCTTTATTAGTTTTAAGTAGAGTTATTTCTAATTCTTTATGCTCCAGTTGCGTCTTTAAACGAGTTATTTCATCCTGGCTGTCGCTGTAAGTCTTGCAAATTTCGTTCAGGAGCGTTGTATTATTTTCTTGATCTGACAACCGGGATTTCAAATTATGAATTTTCGCTTTCATGGTGTTCTTCATATTTTTACGCAAATCTTTGCAACAATGCAGATCTTCCTTAATCGAACCGATACTTTCGTCCGCTTCGGTAATTTGCTCACTCAGATTTCTCGCTTTCTCATTGTTTGCAACGTTCAGATCTGCTATATTACGTACTTCACTTTTCAACAAGATAATTTCGCTCTCTCTTTCTGTTATCATCATTGTTAATTTCTTCAGTTTATCCTCGAGAGTCAATTGGGTCTCAGAACATTCATACAACTGCCTGTAAAGCTCTTTCTTGTCTTTCTGACATCTGTTCACAATCATCTCAAAATCATATATCTTTTGAAACAATTCGTAGTCTTTCGCAAACTCATATTGCATCTCAGCAATCCTTCTATTGAGCTCGTTTATCTGCAGAGTCTTTTGTAACAATTCTTCTTCTAAATTTTCGATTTTTGGGAAGTGTTCATTTGCGCATTTATTAAACGCTTTTCTCAGCCGGTCGTTCAACAAAGATAATTTATTTTCAAAGGTTCTAGATTTCTTTATGTATCTTTCTAAGCATATGAAAATTCGATTTTCATTTTCTTCTTTGACTAACAGTTTGCGGTTCAGATCATGAATCTCACGTTCATATTCTTGTACTTCTATCATTTTGAATGTATCATCGTCTTTGATTGCAATTTCAGTCTCCTCTTCAGTCAGTCGTTCCAGTGTTTTCTCTTTGTGTAGCGTTTGATATTCGTTCGTATCAGTCTCTTCATTTAATACATAAATCACATCCCGAATAGTTTCCAAGTCCTGAGACAATTCAGCAACATGTACCGTCTCTTGATAATTCCATTTATTCAAATCTGCGCTATCTTTGAGTTGTTCAATGTTTTTTTCCATTGCATTCTGACTGTTCTCATCGATGACACAAGTTTGTAGGCACTTGTCTTCGTTTTCGGGGGTACTTGCGGGATCACTTACGCTAGATCTTCGTAATTCACTACTTACTCCCGAGTCATCTTTGCTACTTTTGTCACTCGATCTAGAACCACCACAATCCATACTGCCACTACTTTCGAAGAAACTTTTGCGATCAACGCTTGATACGTTCGAGAGTTTCTTGTTCGTTGATTCGACGTCATTCGTAAACAATGTTGAAACAACGATCCAGTCGTTAAACTCGTTTTGTTCAATTATGGTTGAATTCATGCACATCCGTGAAGGACTTTTCTCTACAAATCTACTATCCTGAATAGAACTTTCTGCTGTATAATTTTCAAATAAAATATTTGTTGATTGGTCACATTTTTTATCACTTTTACTGTCATTTTTTGTATCATTCAAGCACTGTCGAACTTCAGCAAGCTGTCTTTCTTGTAACTGTGTACGATGCTGCAGTTTGACGATACAAGCTTCTTTCCGTAAAAGTTCCTTCTCCAATTCTTTTATTTTGTTCAAAGTATTATTCAAAGAATACTCCGATTTTGATAATTTCTGTTTTACAGAAGCAATTTCAGCGACTTCGTTTTCTACTACACGGTTATATTCGTTCATCTCTTCGAGTTTCTTCTCGGTACTTTTTACTTTTTCATCCATTAACCGTTCCAGATTGTTCATGAGACAATCAGCATCATCCTCGATGTTTTCATTGTTGCCACCCCACTTACGGATTCTAGCTCGCGTGAGCTGTCGAAAGTTTTTCAATTCTTCCGTTACTAAGGCTAATTCGAAACTATATTTGTTCTTTTCGCAGAGGATCGTCTTGTTCTCCTTCCTCAATTTCTTCATCGCTTCTTTCAGAACTATCACCTTGGAAGTGACCTGTGCATTCTCAGCTTTGAGCTCTTCGTAGAGTGTATGATTATCCTCGATGTAATCACCGCTGTTTCCTCGCTTTCTCTTTTTACGCTGGTTTAGATTATCGATGCGTTCCTTGTAAAAGCTTTCGACCTGTTTGATAGACCATTTTAATAGATCCTCTCTCTCAGTTTCGGTCTTCTTAGTATTCTCTTTGTAGGTTCCTTCCAACTCTTCTATCATATGTAAATAATGATCGGCTAGTTGTTGTCGAATAGAGTATTCGCAATTTAACATATCACTTTTTACAGTTTCTAATTCTTGCTTTAATCTTCTATTCTGCTCTCGTATATTTCTACACTCTAACGAATCGGCACAGCCAATTGTTTCTGCAATCTCACATGGGCTTTGACAATTAGATGATGACGTGATAGTGTTATCATCACATGTTTCGAGATCACGGATAGTTTCTTCAAATTCACAAATTTCTTTGCATTCGTTATGATAATTAGTTAGCTTTCTAACTGTACAACAAAAATTTAAAATGCTCTGTGTTTCATCAAACAGATTTGGCTTAAAAGCGATATTCACTATAACACTCAGATTTTCTTCACCTGAGAGAGCTCGTTGACATATTCTTGTTAAATTTGACTGGCGAAATGGCGCCATTCGATTCTGACTCACAGCTTTGAAGCATCTATCAAGTACCAACAGGCTGTTGTTGATGCTACTTGCTTCGCGCATGTGTGATTTTTCGAATTGTGTAGAACCAGCCAGATCGCAAAAAGTCAAAGTACTAAGCACCACTTCCTCCGCTGCATGATCCTTCCGATACTTCAGTAATTCCATCGTGAAAATAGTATGCGATCGAGACCTCTCCGATCCTGTCTTCGTAACACTTATTTTCGATTGGCCCGCTATGAGAATCTGACAGGCTTCCAGCGCAGTTAAGGCATGCATCTTTTGCAAACCGCAAACAGCTCGCCCTTCAGCGTTCATATACAATTTCAACGAGGAACGTATATCCGCGTCGTCCAACAGATCGTAAACATTTCCATTGTGAATCTCCACGAAGGACAGCCAGACGGCGTACATTGACTCGCTATCGTACTCTTCGGATTTATCAGGATTTCTCGGCTGTAAGTTCTCCAAAAATTTTCTGGCCTCTGCAGATGTCTGCTTCAAGTTTGTTGATAGTCCTTCTAATACTCGCATCTTTCGTTGCATCTCCGAAGCTCGCGCGGTCTCATTCAAACAGAGCACAGCGTCCTGTGTCGGTTTGTACCACGGCGCTATAGTGCAGTTTATCGCTGAAAATACAAGCTCGATACTGCGCGTTATTATACCGGGCGATGAGGACGTGCCGAACAGCGTGTAAGTCTTCCCAGAATCCCTCATGCCGTAAGTCATGATGGTCGAACTTTTACCACTGAGAAACTCCACGACTCGATGTTTTATGGATCCCTCGAACATCTCCGCTTGTGAAGTTTTTGATCCAAAGATCTTCGTAAAGACATGCCGCTTGCCTTCGGCCTCGCTCGATTTCGCGCATCTCGAATTTCGAGCGAATTTATCTTCAAACGGCAGAAACGTTAAAAGAGTTCTCGTGTCGAGTACGATGTAATTCTTTTGAAGTACCGATGCTGGTTTTATCCTAAGATACATCTCGACACTCGGAGCGGATATTTTCGAAGCTCGTCTTGATTGCGCATTAGATGTCTTCTTATTGCATTGCAATGGAAAGAAATAGTTCATTTTGACTTCCTGCGTGCAACTCTTTGCGAACGTGTCAGGGCGTTTCGAGAAATTTTTTCTGGTTGGCGTCATACTGAGTTTCGATACAAGTCAAAATGAGCAATAAAATGATGGACTGATATGTTCCAAAAATTACAAAATGAATACTTGTCTAATTATTAGAGAGGTTATTTTACGTCCATGTTTCGCGGTATTTCTGGAAAATTAAACATTATTGTTTCAGATGTATAACAATATGAATTAATTTGTGAATAGAAATTTGCTTACTTTGAAGAGCTTTACATATTCTTCGGAGAATTTTCATAGGACGCCTTCAATTTTATGATACAACTCTCGCGAATGTTAATACCACGATCTTCGACATCGTGTCTTTTTATTCCTGAACTATGTTCAAGTTTAGCAATTAAGAGTTACATTCATGATGTAAGAAGACGAGGTTGTATTCACGTAGGTAAGAGCACGGATAGGTTAGACGTGATAACTGCTATAAAATTATAAAACATTTCACTATCATCTTGGTTTCTATATGCATGTGTCGACGTACGACAAATGACGAGCGCATGACAAAAAGATGCTCGCTTGATGGAGACTCAAGGAAATCAAGTATTAATTATACCTAAATAAATATTTTAGTAACTATAATAAAATGAGATTGTAATAAAAATTACGTTAGTATAATAAAATGCCGTTCCGTAATAATTCGCCAGTTGCACCGTTCAAAGAAGTATCTAACTTCGTCGCTAATATGCATGTCGTAATTTATTCGAGGAGACACATTTCCTCTTTCGAAGCCATTCATCTGTCGCCAAGACACGCTAACGCGTGGTCCGTGACCGCGAAGCGGGAACGCAGACGAACTTGCAGAAATTTGGCGATGACATCCGCGATACATACGGCAAAACGCGCAGACGATAAAGGAACGTCGCGAAGGAGGAGGAGGAGGAGGAGGAGGAGGAATCCTCCTGCAACCGCCTCGAAATATCTTCAAAGACGAGCAAGCAGCAATTTATATACGCGTGTCGCTCGGCTCATTAAACGCAGCCAATCAAAGCCGAAGCTAATAGCGGCCACGGCGCGTATGGCGTGTCCCAGGATGGGACGCGCGATGCGCGAAATCCCGCCGTAATCTCGGCATCGGAATCGGCATCGTGGGGCACAAGTCCGCCACTGTACCGTCGTGCACCGGCCTGACCGCCGAATGCGGTCCGAGCGTCGTCGGATCGGCGCGGTGCCTTTCAAGCCACAATCGACCCCTTGTATCGACAGTGCGGCAGCCGCCTCCGCCCTTGCGGCCCTTCCGCCGTTAGTGCAGTCCTTCTGCTGAGATTTCGCTTTTCGTCTTAGCCGCTCCCTCGGATGTATATCGCTTCATCGCACGCGCGCGGTCTTCAACCGTGTCTCTCTTGTGCTGGATTAAAGCTTGCCGCTGCGCCACGGTGGTCCTTCCGACTTTCTTCGTTAATACATAGAATTTTGTGTATTAACAGATATTCTTCGGTAATTGAAAATGACGTGTCGAGTAATAATTGACATGCTTCTGTGAGAAGTGTTGGGATTCGCTATAATTGCTTTGTGTTATCTCATTAACCGGATTAATTTAGCACCAAAAAATTCTATTACGTTACAACGTTCCAACAATACTGCAGTAATATTGCAAACGTTGCTGCAATGATTATTTTGCCTTGCTTACGAATCTCTGTCTTCACTCGTCTCCTACTTGGCTATTTTGAATTTGACGACGCTGTGATACAGAATTTTTGTAGTAAACTTATAGGGAGCCTGAATTGTGGCATCGTGTATCGAGACAAAACTTCGTCCACAGAAAACCATAACGGAGACTCGAGGGATCTTAAGTATTTACGTCATAATAGACACATCACTTTTGATCTACGGCGTAACTCGCGATACGGTCCAACGTGCCGGTCGTAAAAACCTCGAAGAAGAAGAAAGAGAAGAGCGGGAAGAAACAAGAAGAAAGGGGAGGTCCTCTCCTTTACGGCGAGAGGAAGAACGCGTGAGCTTCGATATATAGGCGCGCTCATATATAAGATGTAGCTGGTGTATGAAAAATAACAGCCGTTGTGCCTCGCCCCCTCTCTATATCGGGCGTTAATGTCTTCACGGTGGATTGATGTTCTGCCTTTATGGGTTATTTATTTAATACTGACAAATTTCACCCGATGCCCACCCCCTCTGCCACTGGTGGCCCCGCCGACCATCGCCGGCTGCTTCTTTTATGGCGCTTTTGATAGCGTTGAAGAACGAAAACGGTACTCGGCACTAATGATTCGACCATTCGACAGAGAAGAGAATCTCGATACGAATGTGAACTATAGAAATGCGCGCTTGAAGCTTCTGTGAATCGATTCATGTTTTATTTTGCTTAGTATTGTTCTTTAAATATATAATATTTTCTACTTCTAATGTCATTCCGAGAGAATATAAATAAAAAAAGAAATATAACATCTATATGTGCTATGTGAATAAATAATGCGCTATTCTTGACTATATGAATCTTTAGTAACTTCTTTTTTTAGTGGGACACAAACAACCACCGTAATATCACGACATGGAAAGGATTACGCTTTTCTTTCTTCTTAAGTCGGATTTAATTCCGTAAAAAAAAATTTCAGAAACTCTGGCTTTGTATAAAACAATGTAACTATAAAACGAACTTTTCTATATAAAATACTGCAACTTTAATACAATTAACCGCGTAATAATCGATCGCATACTTTTTTCTTGCTATTATTATTATTTATAGATCCTATTCAGTCACCACTATATTATTTCAGATTATGACGTAAAAATAAAAAAAATACATAAAAGAATTCTCACAAAATATAAATTGATATGACGATATGTTTCAATAAAATAACGCAATCGAAAAAATTAACTTATAAAATACATCGAAAACTTTTCTTTTAATTTCATTAATTGATAAATAATAATATATCTAAAACGAATTATTATGCGTAACAAAAAACAAAATAAGCTGTATTTTATAGCTATGACGCATTGTAAAATTAATAATATATAGAAATAAACATAATTTTTAAAATTTGTTTCCAAAACGAAAAGATAGTTTTCAATGTATTTTATAATCTATTTATATTGATTGTAAATGTTATTTTATTGAAAAACATTTCTATTGAATTTGCAAGAATTTTTATGATGTGTTTTCCCACTTCTAACGTCACAATTTCAGACGGTATATTAAATTATAGAAGCCTTAATTACTCCGAATATACGTATAATTAGTATAATGCCAATATTCGTTCGAGCAATTCATAGCAGCAATACAATTGACGGTACTCGATAGAATTGATCGGTCTGTATCGATAAGTTTTATTACATACGCGGAGTATGTATGCCCGGAGGACGTGTGTGTCGATGCGTGTTTCATAGCAGCTGCCGGACTCGCGCGGCGGCGCGTAAGGAAGAATGATGATGATGACGACCACGACGACGGTCGCATGCGAGCCGAAGAGGGGAAAGACTACACCGCGCGTGTTTCAAATCAACTCAAATAATAATGACGAGTTATAAATGCCAGTAGACGGCTAACCGGCCCAGACTGATCCCGGGTTAAGATACGTCTCCGCGCATCTCTTTTGACGCGAAGTCATGTTTCCGCGACTTGACGTAACGCGGCGTATATCGGCTGCGCTCTTCACGTCAAGGTCACGCAACGGGAATACATTGTCGTAATACATTATCGGTACTGAATAAGCCTGACAACGTTAGATTTAAGATACGCGCACATTTATTTTTTTTGTTTTGTTCCCCATCGGCCTCGATGACTGCTGCATGCAACGCGTGCAATTTATTATAAGGATTAATAGTCATTACACTTGCACATATAAAAATAATCAATTCGGGATAGATGCATTGCAAGTAGCGCGCGCGCGCGCGCACGTGTTGATCGAGACGAAAAAGTTCAAAATAGACGTGGTACTGCATTATTAAAACGAATCGCCAATTGTAGTCAGCCTGCGGTAATTAGATGCAGCGATGTACCGAGTGAATTATGGCCTGATAATTGCAGGGCAGACGCGCACAACGTTACTGTATAATGTTAACGATTGTCTATGTATCTTCGTGATGATCGTGATCAATGAAACGGGTAAAATTCTCATAAATATCGGTAGAATACGCGTACTTACATATGTTGCCACGCGGATCACGCGCGCATGCATTCCCGATGCGACAAGTGTGATTCCCGGATACCTGATTACATCGTAAACATAAAATTGCACGTGCTTTTGCATTACCTGCCATCAAAGTTGCTCTTACCGAACGGATAATATTCGCATTACCGTCACTTTCCGAGTTAATAACGGTCGACTTGCGGACCAATTAAGACACATCGCCAAGCACATGATCGAAGGGGCCTTTAGTGACAGTTGGCGTCATTAAGGCGACGGCCATGCGAGGGCCCCGTATTCGTTTTTAAACAATTTTATAGCACGAGAAGCGATCCCTATCGCTGCGTATCATCTCTGTGAGATCATCGGTGACCATCGTTGTAAGCGAGCGTCATTTCCGCTCGAACCCACGGCTGGATTATTGCGATCATCAAACATCTGTCTGTATGAACTAACGCGATCGTACTTCGATCGATTTTGATCGAAACTTGGGTGAATGCAGACAGTTGTACGAATATTTTTATGGATGTTTATTTCAAATAATATTACAATACTTATAAGTATCGATTAAATACTTAAAAACGTATTATTCTTAATGAAAACTGTACTTAAAGTATATAATGTTTTTAATTAAAAAAAGAAGAAAGTAAGACCATATATATATAGATAATTAGTAAATTATAATCAAAATATTCTTATAGTGATTCTTTTAACTTTTAGATTAATTCGATACTGTGTATATCTAATTTTGTGTTTTATTATCTATTTAATTAATTTATTCGTTTTGATTACATTTAAAAATGGAATACATTATAAAACGGAATTGTTAAAATCGTTTTATTGTAATCTCCG